AGCAGGCTCCAGAAAGTCCTGCTGCTTGAAAAAGAATCAAGTCCTGCTCTGTGGATGTTCAAAAGGCCAGAAAGACCACACCTGAGACATCTTAAAAACATTTTCTACATGCAGCAACACATCCTGAACCTACTCCTAGATAGAAAGCCCCCTTTCCTCCCTACGGAGTTCAGCAGTTTGGAGAGCAGTCAGAGTGTGGTAAACAGGGGAACTCCCCTCTTACAGGAGCAGTCTGGCCACAAGACCAGCTGCGGGTGGGATGTGGAAGAATCACTGTGTGTTTAGCATATGGCACACATAATACTTGGGAACAAGTATTTCTAGAGAAACAAAGAGAGGAATTGTCCAACTGTTTAATTGAAATGACAGCATTAGTTTGCTAAACATTATTAATGATATTTGATTATAGAGAATGAGGTGCCAGCACTTGTACTTTGATAACATTAAAATGAGTCCTCTGATTCCTTCTCTGCCTTTCCATAATGTCTTGCCCAGAAAAGCCTGGCACAGCTCAGAATGAACCACACGAGAGCCCTGGGACACACATGTGGTGCCTGTCTTTGGGGAGCCTTATGTGACTCAGTCTTGGGCACAGGCAAACTTGTCATCGCCAGTCATCTCATCTCAGGAACAACAGGAATATGTGTGGGATGATGTTCTAGAAACCACCATGCGGTCTAGACTGGAGTGGAGGAACCTGCCCAAGGACCAAATCTCACCCATTGCCTGTTTCGGCAAATAAAATTTTATGGGAACATGAGCAGCTTCTATGGTCCATGGCAGAGTTGAGCAGCAGTAACAGGAACCAAATGGCCCACAAAGTCTATATATTTTCTATTTGGTGCTTTACAGAAGAGGCTTCAAGGCTCCCCTCTTATCCCCACTGTCACTGTCTGGGGCTGCTTTAGTTTTAAGTGCTCCTAAGGGTGGTAGGTCAGGGTTTGGGGGTCCTTGTTCTGAGCTAATTGCTTTCAAATAACCAAGGCCTTGACCTCTCCCTGGAAGGCAGTCTGTGTCTGAGGATGGGCTACAGCTGTTCTCTCAGCTGTCTGTGCGATCGTGTTTTCAGGGTCCTCCTTCGACCCAGTTGAGAGTTCTCGTTCCCTCTTTAAACAGAGATGATCCAGCCAGTCTGTCTGCCCAACTCTGAAGAGAACTTCCCTGACGGGAAAATGTGCTGGACGTCGGGCTGGGGGGCCACAGAGGATGGAGGTCAGTGTCTGCAGTCCGACTTCTGGGCTGGGGACCCCAGAACCTGGGGGGCAGGGGAGGGGGTCTCCAGTGTCCTGATGTGATGTTTCTATGGGATGCCTGGATGTCCTGGCCAGGGTGCATGTCAGCTGCTCAAGTGCACAATCAGCTGAGTGGTTGCAGGTTCACGTATAGCCCCATTCCTTGGGGCAGTGTGAAATTATAGCCCTTTCCAGGAGGGAAATGAGCATGAGGAACACTGCAGCACACCATGGTGGGGAGACCGTTATGAGCACCTGCGTCCCTCCTGCTCCCTCTGCCACCTTAACTAAGCACACGCAGAGCCCCTGAACAACCCTCCCGAGCTGTTGAAAAATCTATAACTGGTGAAGAATGTCTGCCCTGTAGGACTTTGGAAGATGCTATAGAGTCAAATGGAAAGATCAAGTAGAAAAAGCATCCAAAGGGGACCTTAGTGCTGTAGTAGAAGCAGCAATGCTGGTGATCATAGTGATCAGGGCAGACGAAACCAGCGCCGTCCTCTCAGCAGTGTGGGGTGCAGACGTGGCCACAGTTCTCGGGTTCACATCCACTACTTTCCTTGTTAGGGGGAAGAGTGTCGGTCTCCTGAGGTTGCCACAACAAATGGTTGCAACCTATGGGGCTTAAAACTATGGGAATTAGGACTGGTCCCATGGTCTAGTAGTTGAGGGAGCCAATCCCACATGGCCATCTGCAGTTTGAATCCCAGTCCCAGGGGCTTAAGAAACATACTGGGTGCATGTGTGTCTCTCAAATCCCAAGAGGATGGAGAAATGGAGGATAAGGGACTGTGGTGTTTTCCAAGCCACAGCAGAGGTATTATTATTCTTAGTTCATTTCATGGGTGAGGAGACAGAGACCAAAGGACACTGAGAACCTGGCCCAGGTTCCACTGGCAAGCTGGTGCAAGGCTGGGGTTCCATGTTCATGCTCCCCACTCATGCCCTTCTCCCAGTTTAGCCTTCAAGAATTTGAAGCACTGGAAGACAATCATTTCGTTGTCTCATTGACCTTTGTGCAGTGAGTAGAAACATGTGTTCGTCTTAGTCAAAGGTCAGGACCAGGCAGTCCCCATTGAAGGATGGCAGATAAGTGAGAGGTGTCTGGGAGGATGAGGAGGCCCATGGGGACTCACTGTACCTTCAGATACCGGTTTGAGGAGTGTGGACTCACTGTCTGTGGCTACCTTGAGAATGGAGATGGAGGTGACTCCTGCTCTAGGCAGGAAAACTGGGTTACACACAAGTTCACCTGAAAGGGTTGATCCTTTCCATGTCAATGGCTGAGGCTGACTCACAACAGGGGGATTAGTTTCTTGTTATTTTTGCAGCAAATAACCCCACCCTTAATGACTTAAAATTACACACACTTGAAGTCTCATAGAGGTTAGGAGTCCCAGATCCATCTCAGTGGGCTGAAGCCAGTGTGTTGGCAGGCTGCATTGTTACCGGTGGCTCCAGGAGAGAATCCTTCCCTTGCCTTGTCCAACTCCGGAGGCTGTTTGTGTCCCTGACTCATGGCCCTTTCCTCTGTCCTTCAGGGCCAGCAGCACAACTTCTGCAAACCTTTCTGACTCTGGGCTCTGCTTCCATCATCACGCCCCCTTCTCTGATTCTCCTAAGGTTCCTGTGATTTCAGTACTGTCCTCACAACCTGGAATCATCTCAGGGTCCACGTTCTGACCACACCTTCAAAGTCCTTTTTACCATGTTAGGTGACATAATCAGAGATCCTGGGAATTGGGATATGATGTTTCGGGAGCACATTTTTCTGCCGGCCACCCTGGGGTTCCACCAAGATGCCGTGTGTGTGACCTTCATAAGCTTCAGTCTCCTTCCTGTAACCTGGCTTGTTCTGAGAATTGAATGAGCTGGTTCAGGTTCAGTGCTTGGCCCAGGACAGGCCCTGGGGAGGAATGTCTGGCTACTGCTTCCCCCGCCTCCTCTTCCTCCTCCTCCTCCTCCACTCTAGAACCTTAGGGAAGTAGGTGGCTCTGCTGCTGAGCACGGTGGCTGGAATGTCCTTCCAGAGGGGAACAAAACTCTAGGGCCTGACACGTTTCACAGCAGACTTGGTGGGTAGGCTCATCCTACCTGCGGACCTAGGACTTTTCTGCCATTGCACCATTGACCCCCTGTCGCCCTCGTCCCTCCTATCTCCCTGGTCCTCTGAAAGCACATTCTACATTCCGAGCCAGGCTTTCTTCTCACCGCGCATTCCTGAAAAAAATGCCTGCCCTTGCTTTGAAGCAGGTGATGCCTCCCCTGTCCTGAACCATGCAGCTGTCCCTTTAATCTCCAACAAGATCTGTAACCACAGGGATGTCTATGGTGGCATCATCTCTCCATCCATGCTTTGTGCGGGCTACCTGAAGGGTGGTGTGGACAGCTGCCAGGTAAGGGGTCCCTTGGTGGCTTCTGGGGGTGTGATGGTGGGTGATACTCTGGCACAGTGGGAAAGCCATCTTGGATTTTCCTGGGACTGAACAGAAAGTAAATTTACAGGGCGTGGGGAGGAAATTTGCTCAAGATACCACTCCCTCTTCTGGCTGGCCTGCTGTGTTTACCCGGCACTCCCACTCCACTTGGACACTGGGCACTATGTGTGGGAGTCTCATGGCACGCCCTTCCCACCATGATTCTCAGGGGTTGGGGAAGTGGGTGGAAGAGACAACAGAGTGAAGGCTGGTGGGAACCAATGGATGTAGGCCTCCAGAAGTCACAGTGGGGGATCTGCGTACTGCCTGGTTGGATCCCAGGCTGGTCAGGCAGACCCCTCCCTCTGAAAGCATTCCCTCAGCTGCACCAGGCTGCCCTTGGCCTTCATGCATTCAATATCTGAATGCAGGTCGGAGACCCAGTTAGACAGGAATTACCCGCAGGGGCTAAAGAACGCTGATTTTGAGAATGCTAGAATCACCTCCTGAAGGGCGGTGGGTGTGGATGAGCCATCCTTGCGTGTGTCAGTGATACTGTGAAGGGGCTTCTGATGCTACAACCAGAGCAGTACCCGTCCCCAATCTCTCTTTCTCTCCCTGCCATCCAGGGAGACAGTGGAGGCCCCCTGGTGTGTCAAGAGAGAAGGGTGTGGAAGTTGGTGGGAGCAACCAGCTTTGGCATTGGATGTGCAGACGTGAACAAGCCTGGAGTCTACACCCGCATCACCTCCTTCCTGGATTGGATCCATGAGCAAATGGAGGTGGGTGCAGTGGCCTCCTGTTTCTGCTGGTCCCCGGCATGGAACTGCCTGCATCCTCTAGTGTACCCCAGTCCTGCCATCAAGAACCAGCGAGTCGTCAGTTCAGCAAGCAGTGACATGGGGGCTGCTAGGTGATAACCTCGTGGCATGGCACAGATGTGCTCATGGATCTTTCTGCTGCTGTTCTGTGTGGGAGAGCCCTGGGGCCCAGAGGAAGGAGGGGAAGGGTGAACTACCTCTCCAAGCAGGGAAAGGAGGGGTGGCACTTTGGGGACTGGGCTGAGTCAAGTGTGCCCGTGTATACATGGAGTACGGCTGAGTGAGAGATGCGCAGTAGATACAAATTCCTGAGGAGCTGGGCCCTTGCTGAGAGCCAGGGACAATACATAGTCTCCTTCAGAGGCACCTGGGCAGCTCTGCTCTGGAGGCCTTCCTGGAATGGGCACTGGTCAGTAGAGCTGGCCTGGAGGACCAGGGCAGGCCGGGGGAGTCCTGAGGCATCAGAGAGGAAGAAGGGACCCCTGAGACTCATTGGACACCCAAGGGAGCATTAACACCACGTCAGGCCCTGCTGCAGTGATCCATGGGTAGGTGGATGCCCAGCTCTCAGGGTAGGCAGGTAGGCTGCAGGGAGGTGAGCCCCGATGCAGCCCCGAGCCTGCCCCTCCCACTTCCCGCCTTGCTCAAGAGGCAAATATTTGCTAAATTGATCTCAGATTCAGTTTCACATCACTCTGTGGATCAGTTTCACAGAAGTTTTTTTCCCTACCTGAGCTGAGATTTTGGAACATAACCATTTGAGAGTGAACAGCTGGGTGACATTTCACACACTCACTGCATTCTGCAGCCACCGGCCTACCTAGTTCTAAAGTGTTGGTTCTTATCATTCCCAAATAAAACCTCCTGCCCCTAAAGGAGTTACTGCCCGGTCCCGGCTTCCCTCTCCCCCAGCCTCAGGCAGCCACCATTCTACTGGCTGGATATAAAAAAAATTAAAATAAAATAAAAAATGCTTAAAAAAATGCTCCTTTCGGGGATGGCAGGTGGTGTGGTGGTTAAGGCAACTGGACTCCTACATGACTGACGGTGGTTCAAGTCTCAGACCTGGCAGCTTGCTTTCTCACTTTCCTTCTCTCTGTCTCTCTCTGGTCAAGTTCAAATAAATAAATAAATAAATAAATAAATAAATAAAATAATAAAATGCTCCTTAATTCAAAACAATTGACTAACAAACTCTTGATGTGCCTTAGGCATTAAATTCTGCATTGTCCTCCTTTGTTTTTTTCCCTTTAAATGTGAAACTTTAAAGTAGTTCCTGCTGCACAGAGGTGACCCTCAGACTTGGCTGCAACCTTCAGCACTGCTGCCCCCAGCCCTGTGACTGCAGCCTCATTGCTCCCCCTCCTGGGCCTGGTGGAACTGTAGAGCCAGCTCAGAGCCGCTGTGCATGCTATAAGAGAGGCCCACTTGAAAATGTCTCCTAGAGCCCACATAGTCATGAGATGCAGACTGAGTGCCCCTTGGTACAAAATTCAGCCAAGTGCTGCCCACCCCTTAGAAAGTACCAAGATGAATGTACGAATGAGTGACCTCCTCACTGCAGTGGCCACCAAGGAATGCAGAAGGCTGCATGTGCCCAAGGGTAGAGTGTCTTCTGCATCCAGCTGTAGAAATGTGGAGGCATGCTTTCCACCATGGCCACTCCCAGGACGCTGTCCTGTGTGGCTGAGTTTGTAATTCTGAGAGTCGAGCATGAAACACTGAAGGATGCAGGGCAAGGAGGCCAACTCTCAACTCTTCAAGCAATCAAAGAGTGTTGGGGCAAGCAGGGGACAAAGGTTCCCAAATCACTGTGGGTGTTCTGACAGGTGTGGCCATGGGGTTAACGCCATGGCTCATTTCCTCTGCCACCTCCCTGAGCTGCAGCGTCTATGACCATTCCTGCGATGCAGGTGAAGGAACCTTAGGCTCCTCATGCTAACAGGACAGAGCTTGAGTCCAATGCAAATCCATGGTGACTGACTTAGACCAAACAGACCTTAACCTTTGGGTGCTTAAGACTTTCCACAGCTCTTTATTAAAATAAAAGATTCCCAGATCCATTCTCCAGAGTCGGAGTAGGAGGTCTGGAGTGAGGGCTGTGGTGATTTTGATGGGTCTTTGGAGTACACTTTGAGAAACCATAGCATGTGCTACGTGGCTCCCTGGAAGAGTGTTAGGCACCTGCACTGTTGTCAGGAGTTGTGGATGATGGTTTTTTCTGTTCCAACTGGCTAGTTCTTGGATGCCTGGAACTCGATGCTCCAGCCTTTTACTCACCAGCTAAGAGCTGATGATCTCAAAGACCATAGGACATTGCTGGTCATTGACATGTCCTTTCTCAAGTCTCCTTGGGAGGACCCAGAACAGGCATCCCTTCCCATGAAGGTCTTCCAGCAGGTCTGCATTTCAGTTGCTCTATCTGAGCCTCAGTGTGAGGGTGCTGAAAAAGCACACCCATCCTATGAGGCATTGGCCCCTTTATTAGCCAGTGGTATTTCTGCTCTATCACCTCTCTGTCTACCCAGACATTTTCTCTATATATTAATAATTGGGGCTTAAAATTGTGCTGACTCAAATCAAACTCAGGAACATGATGCTAAGACCTAGAAAATTATGGAACAATCTTAAGGCAGTGCTGAGATACATTGTTTGCTGATTGGGGCTTTCCACTCCTATCTGAGATCATGCTGAACTAGCAGCCTCCACCATTGGGGCCAACCTGGTCCTCACTAATCGCAGAGAATAGCCTGATATCACTCAGGGTGAAATGCAGGTGCTACTTGGTCATGATGGTGGAGAGAGGGCTTGATGTGCTAGTAAAGATATTATCTCTTGTTTTCCTTTTCAGAGGGACCTGAAAACTTGACGAGTAAGGGGATAACTGCCATCCTGAGCTCCTGCAGAGATGGAGGCTGCCCCATCCCTTCCGACTCCTGCGTGGGACTCTTGGACATGAGCGGATGCCTTTGGTGCTTAGCTCCCCAGCACTGGCAGCCAGGCAGGAGAAGGTGCACCCTCTGACCTTCGATGCCTGATGCCTCTAACAAGCCATGTACTTAGGCTAAGATGACCTGAAAGCTCCTTTCTGACCTTGTCTAAGAACAAATGTAGGCACGCTTCCAATGTGCTACCCTTTACAACTTGACCATTTGGTTTTCTCTACAAGGGTTGTACAAATTTACCGACAAGATAGGCGATTGCACAAGCAAAGCAATAAAAAGTCACGTGGTACTGAGTGCCGACCTGGTGCTGCAGGAATGTAGGTATAGCTGCTTATTCTTTTCTATCCCTTGGGACCAGAACCAAAGCAAGGTTTTTTACTTCCAAGATCCCTTTCCACAAGTGGGGAGCTTGACTTGTGAAGGGTTGGCTTTAAAGTTGAGTTTCATTCTTTCTTTGTGCATTTGGTGCTTGATGGATGATTGTCCCGTGTTTCCCAAGAGCAAATATTCTCCTAACCCATTCGTTAGTTGGACTTGTCTGAGTGAGTTCTGACTGCTCTGATAAATTGAAATCATTAGCTAGGTTCCAGAGGCTTGATTTCTTTAATTTATCCAATACACATGATAGATTCTGCATTTTTTCAGTTAGAACAGTTTTCTCAGCAGATTAGAATGACCTCATCTTACATTACGAGACTCAAAAGCAAGATGAAGAAAGATGAAGTACTGGGATAGGACAAGACCACCGCACCCCCAACCGGTGGCTACTGCAGGCAAACAAGTAGCCAGTCATGGTCATCAACAGGCTAAAGACTTTCCCGCCTGCAGGATTAGAGGCCCTTCCTGCGCACCACACACAGATAACAGGAGAGGGTTACTTGGGAAGTGATCATCACCTTTGGTACGTTGGCCACAAATTAATCCATTTGAATATGAGTAAGTTGTTTTGCCTTAAGGCAATAGCAGATGGGATCTATGACTTTAAAAGGGAGTGGAGAAGGGTCTAGGTGCCATGGAGAGGGAGGGGCTCTAGGGAGATGGGATGGAGGGGGCAGACTGGCCACTTAGCACTCCCATCGGGACCCCCAACCATGACAACCACTGCACAGGTTTCTACATTTGTCAGAAAATGCCAAGGTTGTTTTTATTTTAAGCTCTCTTTTAAGGTCATGGTGGCTCCTGGATTGTAGATCCAAACTGAAAAGGTGAAAGATTTCCTAGGGTATCATCTCAGTTGAAAAAACTTACTAGTGGGATCAGCAGAAATGCACCTCCGGCCTTCTGTGGTTTCATCACATTACTACTTTCTCTAATTGCTTCTGAGTTCTGTTAAGAAATGTTGGACACCTTGCAACCTTCTTTCTGTCAAGAAGGTCTTGGGTAGTTCTGATAGCAGGGACTTGATCAGTGTGTCCTCTGTGTGTAGACCCCTTCATACTCATTTCCTATTTTCACCTGTTGCATTTTCAAAAATCCTATGAGGCAGGAACCATCTTGTTCTCATTCTGGAGGAGGAAATGGGACTGTGAGAAGTTAAATACTTTCCCAGGATCATGCATTGACCAGTGGTTCATCCAGGATTTGGGCTGGGTGTGGCAGGAATAAAAGCGTTATGAGGGTTAAACTTGTTGGCACTGGACTCTCAAGAAACTTGGTACCACTCATTTGAGCCCATCTGAGACATTTTAGTAACTCAGAGTCCTGATTAAGTCTGAGTAAATAGTTGGTCTTATTGAAGACATTCAAGGACTCATGTGGATGATGATGGGACCTCCTTTAGTCCATGGATGCAGTTTAGCACCTGCCCCTCTCCTGAAAACCAGGCCAGAGTAGGAGCTCAGAGAGAGAGAGAGAGTCTTAGCTAGAGCACTCTTAACCTGCAGCCACTTCAGAAAAACAACTAGAACAACATGCCACAGACCAGGCAGGCTGGTAACCTCCAATGTCTGGCCAACTTGGACCTGAAAACAGCAAGTGGGATATCTCTGCCCTGGGTTAGTGGGTGGGTAGAGCAGAACCAACCCTGCCCCCATCCTGTACCCGATTGTTCAGGACAGGGTCATGAAAAGGGGACAGTCTCTTTCC